GGGGCAATTCTCCTCCGTCCACCAGGGCAGTTCTCTGTCCCACGGGGCAGTTCTCCTCCCTCCCACAGGGCAGTTCTCTGTCCCACAGGGCAGTTGTTCTCTGTCCCACAGGGCAGTTCTCTGTCCCACAGGGCAGTTCTCCTCCCTCCCACAGGGCAGTTCTCCTCAGTCCCACAGGGCAGTTCTCTGTCCCACAGGGCAGTTCTCCTCCGTCCCACGGGGCAGTTCTCCTCCCTCCCACAGGGCAATTCTCTGTCCTACAGGGCAGTTCTCCTCCCTCCCACAGGGCAGTTCCCCTCTGTCCCACAGGGCAGTTCTCCTCTGTCCCACGGGGCAGTTCTCTTCCGTCCCACAGGGCAGTTCTCTGCCCCACAGGGGCACTGTCAGTCAGGGCTGGGTAGATGACAGTGCGTTTTTCCAAAGGAAAAAGATGCAGCCAAACACCGGCTTCTGAGGGATCTATTGGGCCAGTTCAACACAAGGCAGAGAGGTCAGCTAAGAAAGTTACAAAAACTCTTTTTAGCGTTCTAAAATCTTTAAACATTTTCTCAAAGAATACAGGATGATTAAACTCATTTATTAGAAACGAGTTTAAGAATTTAAAATGCCACGTTTGAGGAAAAGGCCAGAAAAGTTGCATAAGGGAATTCTGTTTTCATCACAAAAATGAACCTGCTCATTCTTTTGGGTGCGAAGGACCGCCTATGAGAATTTCTTTGGGAAACTTCACCTCATCCACACTACAGCCCTGATCTTGCCCCTTCAGACTCGATTGTGTTCTCGAAACTAAAAGAACGTTTCTAAAAGCGCATGGATCAAGTCCTCAAGGATACTAACTAAAACCACCATTTTGACACAGTATAAATCAAAGAGCACACAATTCTTTGGGGAAGGATTCAACAGACAGAAATACAGCCCCTAAGATAGTATAGACCTAGAGGGAGGATATGTTGAGCAGCAACAGCTTCACATTTTGGCATTTGTTTTTAAAAAGCTTCTAAAATGTTGTAGCAATACTTTTTACTTCCCTTCTTATTTTTATACATATCCAAAAAAAGGATCCCTGGTGGTATATTGGTTACACATTGGGATGCAATACTAAGCCTTGCAGTTTGAAACCCACAGCTACTCCATGGCAGAAAGGCAGGCCTTTCTACTCCTGTAAATAGTTACTGTCTTGGATACTTACAGGGGCAGTTTTACCCTCTCCTATAAGGTTTTTATGGGTCACTATTGACTCGGTGGCAGGGAGTTTGTTTATATATACATGTACTATATATGCACTATTATACATTAAGTTGCATTAAGAAAAACCTATTTAGATTGTACATGAGAGTTAAAATGTCATTTTATAAATATGTTCGTCCATGAAAACTTTTACTTCCATTTTAAATAAATGATAAGGAAAGTGCCATTACTAAATATATATTTAATACATATAATATATTTAATATATACACGTAGAATGTATATTTAAGAATATACATTTCTTAAAAATGTAAAGCTGTTTAGCTGTGCTGCTCTACTTCCAAGAAAAGTGCAGATAAATGGAATGGTCACTGTATAATTACAGAGCTATAAATAATCAAATCATAATGATGCAAAATAATGAAGAAATTAGCAATCTCATGAGGATACTATTTTATGTCAGAAGACAATGAAAGGTTCACTGTGAAGATGGCAAATTTAAAAAAAAAAAAAAAAGGAGATGGCAAATTTTAACTCTTTTATAAGGAAGAAGAAAGAAAAAGCTATGAGCAACAAAACTTTCCAAAGGATTATACACGCAGCATTCAAAAATCACAAAAATCCTTTTAAACCACACTTGACTCTCTCTGCAGACATTGCCTACCAAGCAAACAGGATCATATGAAAACCAAAGTAAACCATGAATAAAAGACAAGTTCAGAAACAAGACAGGCTGAAATTGCTATCAAAAATATTTTTTTGCATGAAACAGACCAATGTAATAATGAGGTGTAAAAAACAAGCTCTCATAAATAACACATGCATATAATGTATTCCTATGGCATTTGAAACACTAATGATATTACTACCAGACAACTTTCTTATTTGTAAATAGATTAAGGACCTATAAGTAAAATTGGCTAAAACTGGTATCACTTGGAAACTATGTGAGAAAAATTTGCATAATAAGTTTTAAAAGTTCTTTTTAATCTATACAAAGGCTACAAGAGAGGGAGGGAGGGGTAGGAAAATGTGAGGCCACATAAAGGTATTGAAATGGATAAGAAGATACCAAATTACACTCAAACATCTATTTCACAGCATAAAATTGCTTATGTACAAAAAGACTTGTTCTTGTTCATTGCTGCTCCATGCAGTGAGTGGGAAACTTTCTTAACCTCTTTAAGCCTCTATTTCATCACCTCTAAAACAGTTAGAAAGTGAACATGCACAATTGTTACAAGGATTCTGTCAGCTCAGGCAGAGAAGCTTCTAACACAAAACCTGTCAGTGGTGTACACAGGGCTGCACGCTCCTGAAGCAAAAGGAGAACTCTGCCCAGCGACGTCCTCGTTAAGATGTACTTACTGCAGCACTCTTTCCTGGGAAGTTGAAGAAGGCATCAGGGCCGTACTTCTGAGGCATGTGCTTTAACACCGACAGCAACTTCCCAGCATGCGGAGGCTAAGGAAGCAATCAACAACGCATACACGACATTATTCACAGTTTAAAGTACAGATTTTTCTAATAAACTCATGTTTTAATATACAGGTAAGCCCCAACTGAGGGCAGGGCTCTGTTCTAAAGATGCCATCAAACTGGTTCTGACAAAAATCTAAAATTCTTTTTTCTTTATTTAGTTTTTGGTATTATTGCCTTTTATTAGTAGGATCATTATATAAATCTGATCGTTATTTTTCTTAGGGGATAGATAGCATTGCCTATAAATGTTCAGATATGATGATATCATCAAATCATACATTGCATCTTTGTACGTAGTACAGATTAGTTATGTAGTATGTTGGTTTTTTTTCATGAGTAAAGGGTTTATTAAAGAAGTTAACAGGTTGTAATCCATTCTCAGGGTAGTTGTTTACCAGGACATGTTACAGCATTTTAGGTCTGCTAATAAGTGCCCAGTGGGGCAAACTACTCTGCTGCAAACCTGAACTAGAAGGCATTCACCTTAAGCTCCACAGGTGAGCAAACACAACTCCCTGAATTAGTGCTCAGAGGCACCCTAGTCACTCCACGCTGCACAAAAGCACTCATTTTAACTTGCTTCATGGATTGTGAATTTCATCACTCTGTGCCCTGCTCTGGCTCCTTGTAGTGCTGCTGCTCTTCCGATGGATGGCTGTCATCTGTATCCAAGAGGTTCACTGAGCAGGCATTTCAGGTCTAGCTCCACTCCTGGCTTTTGCTGCTAATGAGATGTCTCCTCCTGTTTCTCTGAGAACCCAATTTGTACACCTCAGAATGGCACTTGAGGACATTCTAGACTCAATGACTCACAGGTGAATCCCATCAGTGTCTTCCCCTATCTTCTGACCAGACCATCCAGGGAAAGGTTGTTCGGGGGATGTAGTATGTATTAAGATAAACCAAAACCAGATGTTATTAGTATGTGAGGTGCTCAAACCTTGAATATGTACACAAAGAACCAAATAATGCTATAAACTAAAAATCATCCAAAGTAACAAAAATGGTTATTTTCAAACATATCCGAGAAATAAATATTTCTCTGTGAATATTATTTGGCATATTAAAAGTTCAATAAATATCAGACAATATTATTTGACATCTGAAATTCTGGCACACTGCAACAAGAATCACCGTCTAAGTGGGAATATTCCCGACTGCCCAGTTTATTTCTCTAACCACTGAGGGGCATGTGAGATGGCGAGTCCATCAAGACTATCAAGAAAGCCAAAAAAGAACAATAAAAACATGTCACTCGTGAAAATGGAGGTAACTGGTAAACAGATAAGAGTTTCAACTGGTTGTCTGGAAAAAGGAAATCAGAAATTGGATAGAGAAAAGTCAGGTGAATGAGGTTGGATTTTTAGAACTATGTATGTATATTTCTTTGGTTAAAAATTAAATGCACCTACTTTTTAAATTCCCGCTGGGTAATTCAAATGCAAAATGCTAGTTATGAGGCACAAGGGTAGAATAGGATGGAGATTTTCAATCAAGCAGACCTCTAATTTTGTAGTCTTAGGTGAGCTTACTAATCTGTCTATAGTCTATCACCTGTTATATATGTTAGTGTGAAAATTAGAAATAATCCTGCCTTAGTGCATGGTAAAGTAAATGTGCATGTATGTTATTACAGAATATCACATTAAGATGTAAATAAAATACATGTAAAGAAAAAACTCATCTTTTAAAAAAGTACATGCTACAGTCCACTGGTATTCGTGGCAGCCCTCTTGAGCAATAACCAAAAGGTGGGAACAACCCATATGCCCAACAGCAGATACTAGACACACGTCCTATTACACATACATAAAGGGATTGCCACCCAGTCACAAAAAGAAAAGAGGTCTGGATGAAACCACTTAGCTTGTCCACATGTACCTCCAAACCAACACCACCACCCCCTCCCCACTCACCCAATGCTCCCTCCCCAGATGCCGTGGGCAGTGATAAACACTCTCTCATCCTATTTAGAGTCCTCATGACAAAAGTCAGTCATGAAAGGAAAAGAAGTGTGCAGTGCAGTTCGTTTCTCTTCCATTCTGTGTCAGAGACACCCATATACCACCCATTGGAAAATGGGAAAACACACACACAAATGCACAATCGACACACTGATATTATACGGAATTGTATAAAATGGGGCAAGAGTAATAAAGTTAAACAATTAAAAAAGAAAAAATGCAGTTCTGGTACATACTCTGACATGCATCAACCTGGGAAACATGCTGAGTGAAGAGAATCAGCCACAAAGTCAAATACTGTGATGCTCTCACTTACATGAAATACCTAGCATGAACAATGCAGTGATCAGACTTAACAGTGGTTTCCAGTGGCGGAGCAGAGAGAAACACAAGTCACTGCTTAAGAAGTATTGAGCTTCTGTCCATGGTGATGGCAAACTGGCAATGGATGTGGGTGCTGTTGCACAGCATAGTGATGGAACTCATGTCACTGAATCGTATATCAGAAAATGCTGAATTGGCAAACGTGTGCTGTCTACATTTTTACAATTAAAAAACTAAGCTGGATCAAACCACCCCAGCCCTTCAAGACACTTTTTAATTTAATAAGTACTTAAGTAATTTCTATATATTACTGTTAAAGATACTGCAGAAACAATAAAACATTTTTACCTCATAAGCACAGTACACCCACTTTCTAGAGGAAGAAATCACAGCATAGGAATGTGTCCAGGCTCAAACAGGCAGCAAGCGACAGAACTTAATTTGACTCAGGAGTGCATGCTTTCAGCTAAAAAACCATGGCCACTGAGTCAATTCCCACTCATAGGCCCTCAATAGGGCAGAGCTGGTCTGCCCCATTGGGTTTTCTATTGCCTTTAAAGTAAGAACCAATACCTTTATCATAGCTTACAACATACCGCAGAGTCCAGCCCTTATCTACTTCTTAAATGTCTCACTTTCTTTTATTTCATAATTTTTTATTCTTTGAAATCCATCTGTGGAAAACTAACTAACACTGAGGGAAATACGATGTGGGATATATTCCATCATTTATAACAGAGGGAATCTGGAAAGCTAGTATTCCACAGTATGCAACCCACCACTTTGGTTAAGTTAGAGATAGTCCAAGTACATTATCCTGCTTTAAACGTCATTCCCACAGATTCTCCCCTAAGAGTTATGCTGCCTTAAAGTGAGCACATGATTGATTTTATCTCCCTACAGAGCAGACATCCTGTTACTATCTCTTCCCACTGTGTCACCCAGGACCCCTCGTTCCTTCCCCCAATGCAGGTATTAGATTTCCTCAGCTGCGAGCTCAGGGACCTTACTATAGATTCTACCCACCTTGTAACATATGTAACTACTGAATACGCATGTTTTATGGCTACCTATAAATATACCAAGACAACAAAGAGTCCTTCTTTCTTCTCCCACCTCCATATGGATCACCAACAGGAGCTGAGGTGAGCATGCTACCATAAAATGTGTCCGACTCCTTTATTTTATTCTCTCTCCTATCTCTCTTATTCGCTATGGTTTTACTATGATCTTTATATATTATAACCATACAATTACACCTACTGACCCTTCGGTTGC